CATTCGATGCTTGTCATCCCCTTTTTTTTTAAATAACTTCATATCCATTAGAAAAATATGTGCTATGCCTCAATTAACCAGATCCATGCCCTGAAGAGTCGCACCATGCAACACTCTCTGCATGCAGATCCACCAAATGCTAAGTACTGTCGCAGCATATGATACCAATGCCATTAGCCAGGTGGCTTTCATTACCTAAATTACAGCTATTGTTTATAATTAATTATTTGTAAATAGAAAGATTTTCTAATATAATTGATAGCTTGAATTTCCCCCATCTCCTATTAATTAGGTTGATGGGATTTTCTCGCCTTTTTGCGGCTGTTTTTTCGCCGGTACGCCTTAGATGCTGATCCACTCTGAATGCACCAGAAGATAAGGCAATTCAACACTCAAACGTGGATTTGTCAGATTCATAACCAGTGGATAGCCTGACTTAATAGAGCCTAAAGCTCTGACCAGACAGGCATACCAGCTCAGTGACAAAGTGAAAGTCCCTAATTGTTTTTAATTTAATCTGCTGCTTTACTATTTTGGGTGCCAGTGCATATTAATGCTCTGTCTTGTGTTGTAAGGAAGGGTAATTAGGTTGAGAGTGAATGATTCCCTAACCACTCTTCTGTCTCCCAACCTTCTGTTTCTCCATGTTTCTAAATTATATCCAAGAGGGAAGGAGGTTTATTTTCTCTGCTCCCATAAAGGTCAAAGTAAAGATGTGCTGTGATGTCACAGAGTCTTTCTGAAAGTATTCTTAAAATAGCTTCATGGTTTGCTTTACTACATGTAAAAAAAAAAAAAAATAATTAGTAAATCCGCATCTTTGGTATTTTGCAGCACAGTAAAGTAAGCTTTGTCAGAATGATATTAAGGATTAATATTTATTTTTATTTTAATAGAATGAGTTTACAGAGTCCAGGCTCCCCATAAGGTGATAGTCTGGGTTTTTTTTCATGATAAACTCTAGAAAGATAATTGTCAGTTCAACAAAAGCTAAAATAAAATAAAGTCTACACTGTAAAACTTACTGAAAAAATTATGCAAATTAGCCTTAAAAAAAACAAAAACTTTTTGACCTTAGTACAGTAAAATAGAAGCGTTTCTTATGTAGTAGACCTATCCTTGAGTTTAAGCTACTGTGATTACTTTGGTAGCAGTGCATTGGAGCAGCAGTCTGTAGAGGCTTGTGTTAGAAACTGGAGGCTCGCCGATTCAAGTCCCGCTTCGGACTATGTTTGGAAGTTGCTCTGGTAGCAGGAGAGGTCTGAACTCACATCCTGATTACTGCTGAGTTGCCCTTGAGCAAGGCACCGACCCCACCACCACCACCACCAGGACCAGCTCAGGAGCGCTCGCTGTGAGCAGCCCCTCACTCTAACATCTTTCCATTAATGCATGCCCATAGGATCCTGTTTGTGTGCGTTTCAGCCGATGTGTGTGAAGCATCATCAACAGATTGTAAAATTGAATTTCCCCTTGCAGGATTAATAAAGTATATCTTCTTTTTCTACAGAATACTGGATACATTAAGATAGTTGCACTGATGACTTAGCACAGTCTAATAAGAATTACTAATTCAAACAATTAAATAATTTAAACGCTTTATTACATAAAAGCAGTACCAAAGCAGACAAATACTCTGGTTTTGGATTAGTTTCAGAATATTTTCAGTATAACAGTATTCATTTTATAACCTCTTAAAAAGGGCTGAGTCCAGCCATATGTATTATGATGCTTAACTCAGATGTATTGCAGTAAAAATGTATTGCCACTGTGCAGGAGGCAGATGTGATCCCCATTGTCAGACTGCTCTTGGCTCCATACATTAGCATAAAGTAAGCATACTGTCCCCACGAGAGCACAGGTTGGATATGCATTAATGTAAACCCGGCAATAACTTACTATTAATGTCGCTTAAATGGGGGAAAAGACATTATACAATATGAGTGCAGTGTAAAACTTGACCGACTCTATAAAACGCAGACAACTCTTGGTTTGGATCCAGGTACCTTCTCTCATGTCTTTACATCACTCTCTACTTTTATTTTCTTTTTTAAATATCTTGCAGTTTTAGGTCTTTTTTTTTTAACTTGGTTACTTGTCTGTGTTTCTGTTGCTTCTGTCTAGTTTTGATGTGGGCAAAAACAAACTGAGGTAAAAAGAAAAACAAGAGTCCCCAACGTTCTTAATGTTTTTCAGACAGATATGTTTTCCCAGATATTAAGAGCAGTTTATGTCCCTTTAAAGTTAACAGGGTATAGATTTAGCAATTAGGCGGTAATCATGCTCATTATGAAGAGTAATCCATTTAAAACCTAACAGATGTCTGTTCCTACAGGGCGACCGTGATGGTCCCATGCCAACAATAAGGCAGTAATGTTGTTGAAATGTTCAGGTGCAAGGTTGAAGTGTGGAAGACTCCCCCCCCCCTCCCTTAAGTGTCCACATGTTGACAGTTGACCATTTAATGGCCCACTTAATTGCAGTGGCCCCTTTATCCCCAAGCATCATTGTAAATTAATGCTGAGGCGGCAGTGTTTTTTCACAGTTCCTCCCTCTTCTCCTTCACTTCAAACATTCTGTTCCTTCACTCTTGTCACTTTGTGGTGGAAGAGACTCTTCCGTGCGATGGATCGAAACCCCATAGAGTTTAAAAAGTTGAGAATTAGCTGTTCCCCAGGCAGAGAGAGAGCAGTAAAACAGTTTTTAAAAGTGGCATCTGGAGAACCCGGGATGACGTCTTTGGTGGGGTAAGTTGACGTAAACTGCTAAACTAATCCAGCGGTTGACTTGCTTTTATTAAAATATGGTCACACACTCCACACAGAAATCAATGTTTGAGATTTCTGTGGTTTTGTTTACATGTCACATGGTCATTTCATGGTTTATGGTGATTGATGTCACAGGCCTGTGCGGACTCAATAATTCAGCATTTACATACCACTCTCAGGTGAGTAGAAGCGAAAGGTCCATTAAATCCAACAATCAAATGTACCCAGAGCAGTTGGCGGAGACAGAAAACCACTGGAGACAGCACAGAGCAGTTCCTATTGGGATGTCCACTGGTGCAAGGTTGTGCTGCACATGTGGGCTTTCTTTCTTGATACGCAGAGGGTGGAGGTATGTATGATCCAATTAGAATAATATCTGTCACCGCTTTAAATATCTTCGACTCCAAGGATGCGGTGGGGGTTGGGATTGTGGTGTGGAAGGAGCGTGGGAGCCCCCCTCGGAGCTGACTGTTTTCCAGGTTTGCCTCTGTGCCAGGTGTTTGACATTGAATGGAGCTGGAGATGAATGTAACTTATGGCAGCACATGGAATTCACCGACTCCTGGGAATCCAAGCTTCCTACAGTGAAAGTTTCCATTTTCAAAGCCCATCAGTTGCGGTGGGAGGGCTCCAGGACGGCCCATATGCCAGCGCTGACAGTGAGGCAGGAGAAGTTCCCCCCCCCCCATCTGTGTTTGTAGCTCACAAACAAATACACACTCTCGCAGTGGTCAAGCCCCAAAATATATACCAATCCAAGAATTGCAAACGCCAATGCAGGTTATGTATCTCGTACCAAATTTGTGATGCATAGTTTTGTTCCTGATTCAATTTGAATAACATCAGAAAACATACTTGCATTAAGAAATATTCAGATTACACTCTCTATCTCTGGGAAATGGGGTTGAAGAATATATTGTGTACGTATGAATGAGTGAGAGCAAAAAAATCGGTCTGTAATTTTCTCATTTCTCATACCACACACATCCTCCCCTTTTCGCCCCCCCTCCCCACGCCATGGTGGAAGGAATCCTTTGTCAGAGGTGTTCATCTGGAACAACTTTGCCACACTTGTTTTCATGTTCTTTTAGATTACAGGGCAGCTGGCCCCAGCTTTGAAGCTCCCCCTCTCCCTTTGTCTCTGTGCAATGCACTCTGGTAATTAACTTTGTCCTTCTTTTATTTGTTCCAGTCACTCGCAGTCCACTCTTCTGAGCATCTTCTCCCTGGAGTACCAGGTTAGAAGTTTTCTTCCTTTGTGAGCCCTGACAGGTGCCTAATTGAATGATGAATGTCCCTTTATTTCTTTGTAATTGAACTGCCAGCTCTCTGATTGGTTTGGAGAATGCCCCCCCACCACTACCACCACCACCATAACCCCCCGTTTATTCCCCCCCCCCCCCACCCCTCCTTCAATCCTCACGTTCATGTTGAGGGTCCTTGCCTGCCTGAGCCTCGGTGGATGTCTGCCAAGCCTTCCCATCCATCTGTCTAATAACATCTAGCCCCTGCTTATTTGGTGGACCTGTAATAAATTATGCTAAACCATTATTATTCTGACAATAATAATTTCCCCGTGTAGTGCGGCTGCGTGTGCTAAATGTTTGCTGACTCGCACTGTCACTGCTGCTTTCCACGGCTGACAGCGGATGATGATAAATGGCCACTGCCGCCAGTGGCAGAAGGCAGCACAGGCAGAAAATGGAGTCATTTATCATCCCCCTGACAGGTGTCAGTCACACTGCCTGTCCCAGTGGAATTACATTTTTTTTTTCAGCGTGTAGTAGTTTTTAAATAAGTTGTTTTTTAACCAGTGCTCTTCCTCTTTTATCCCCTATCCTCCTCCTTTTTTCGGCAATTGAATTGCATGGATATGTCAGGGAAGTGGGATGTGGAAAAAGGCAATTGTTTGATCGAAAAAGGGGAAATGAATACAAGGCTTGAGCGAGGGGCGGGTGGGGGGCGGGCGGGGGGTTGAACAAGGTTGCCTGTGCACACTTTGACCCTGCGCAAACTTATTAAAATTGAATTACGGCGAGACAAGATGCCTTCGATTGTTGATATACAATAGAGGAAAAAGGGGCACAAAAGCCGGGAAAATGTAATGCAAATTGTATTTTTTTGAAATAAAACACCTCTGTTATTATCACTATTAACATAATTTTTATACATTGCATTTTTATGAATAAAAAAACCCCTGTTATAATGACATTTGTGTTCTCTATGTGACAGAAAAGAACCAAAAGAACCATCTCCAGACACCATGCACCAGATGTTATTGAAAGCCACTATCAAAGGTGCTGTATTACTTTATTACTCTTCTGTCTCACACTCTCTGTATATCTTCCTCTCATCTCTATCCCTGTTTTTTTCCCCCTGTATTTGTTGTTATCCCGTCTCCCACTCCTGTGTTCTCTCTTTGTCTCCCCTCGTTCTCTGACTTGCCAAAGTCCCTTCCTCAGCCTGGAGAGTAGGTGGGCCACCATGACAGATATAATCTCCCCCAAACAAATCACCACCCTCAGGATTCATTCCAGACCTCCACTTGCACCTGCTAAGCCCAAGCTCTGTTCTCCATGTCAAATTGAAAGCAGAAAAATAAATAAATAAAACCAGCCATTGGACATTTGCCTTACACGGGCTTATGATGGGATGATTATCGGTAATTCAATGAAAAGGGATGAATTAAAAAAAAGAAAGAAGGAGAAACAGCCTGTAGGGTAAAAAGCCTCTTTGCATATTGCAATTAGGCTTTATCTAGCTTATTAGACCATTGTTCTGGGGAAAACAAGGCCGGATAATGCACTTCTAATCCACTTACAACAACAAACCTCAGAGATGATCTGGGGAAGATCTGTGGGGAGCTGCAGTATTAGCTGGCGAGGGAAAAAAGGCTTTTTGGGCGGCAGGGGTTAACTAACTATCATATGCTTGTCTGGCTTCAAGGAAATTTGAAGCCCTTCAAGCAGTGCTGCTTTAACCACACCGAGCCTGCCATATGCCACCGAGGGCAAAGTCATCAGGGACATTAGCATGTCTTGGCTAGCCTGGTCTACTCCCCTCTACCCTTCTGTCTGCCTTTGGTGGCCCATGTTTTTTTTTTTTTTTCATTGCTGTTTTTGTTCTTTGTTATAATGAAGGTATCTGAGCCAGGCCAAGGCCCATCCCTCTGCTCCTGTCTTGCTGGAGCTGGCCATAGAGGTAATGGCAAAACCTTTTTTCATTTTCTTTTTCTCCCTTTTTCTATTTTCTTATCATCAAACAAAAACAAAACAAAAACTCCTCAACTGTTGGTCACTTTTTCTAAAAAAAAAAAAAAAAATGAAGTGGTACGACTTTGCTGCAGGTTCAGCTCCCTACCTCATCTGTTTGCCATTATCCAAATTGGTAAAATGGTCTCCTCCATTATCAATTATTTAATGTAATTAGCTCTCGCCTCCATTAGGCAGATGTGAAAATACTTTTTGGGTGTTTTATTATGTCATTTTCCAAATTGCACTTCAAGCAGAGTTGCAGCAAACTGCGGACAGGTGAGGGCAGGGTCAGTGGTGAATTCTTCTCTTCATCACTGCATCACTTGTCCGCTGCAGGAGGCCAGCGTAGCATCTGTACTTTGGAGGGAGAAGACATAGAGTTTTATGTTGACTTAAATACAATTTCAAAATAAATGTGAATTAAGAGTGGTTGATGTTTGTTTGTGTGTTGTGGGATAGCTTCTTTATTCACTTGGCAAAGTTTCTACATTTCACACAAGTGAACATTGATATTTTAATTGGCCTTGGTGTTCCTTACACATTGCACATAGTTTATTATCATTACTGTAGTAACAACAAATCTACTAGAAATTCCTACTTAGACAGAAACACAGCTAAAAGGCAGATTTACCGTATTTAATGGAATACATTTTAGATTGTTACAATATTTTGAACAGCATTTCTGCAGTTTTTGGGAAGCTCAGAAGTGTGTGTTTATTAATTTATTGTCCACTTGGTTATATTGTTAGTCTTTATTGTTAGTTCCCTCTTATTTTGGTTGTTAGAATATGCCGTCTAACCTTTTTAAAATATGTAAATGCACATTTAAATTTTTATTGGTGCTTAACAGCAGGCAACCAGATTCAAGGGTTTCTTCATCTAAAAACCAGAGTAGCTCACATGCATCAGTGGCACCTCAAAGCTAACTGCCATTATTCATTCTCCATTTAATTGACACATGATTTTTTTTTTTCCTCTAAAGGATTAAATCCAGCTCCGAGATAACTGTCTATGAACCATTTAACTGTCATTTTAATATGCTACTTAACATTTAAACCAAGCACTCATGGTCTCCCAGACCGCTAATTGATGTAGTTTCATCCCTTTATGAGACAATATATCTCCAACAGAGGGAAATGATTAACAATGATGAAAAGTATTCATGGATTCCTTTTTTCTTTTGCCCCCAGAAGTGTTCCATGAATGAGGGCCTTAAGCTCCACATTTGCTGTTTTTTTTTTTTTTGTTTTTTTTGCATGCTTTATATGGAGTTTTATGTAAAGGTTACTCAAACATACAAGGTGTATTACAGTTGAACTGTATGTAACACCCATTAGCATCTGGGGCTAATAAAAGTAGTTTTACTAACCGATAACTGGGGTTTTGTGTTTTTTGCAGGAATTCAAGCTTCTGTGAATCTTAGTCACATGTTCAACTTGTGAAGTGCTGACTTGTGAATGGAGATGGACTCATGATTAATATGAAAATTAGGGAGACCCAAGTACCTGAACTAATCAGGTGTTTTTTATTCAGGCTGGGGCCAGGGTTGGTAATGTTGCCATTTTTCATGTGTCAGCTCTGAGGCAGGTTACCAGGACTCTGATGCTCTCTTGTTATCCAGAGATTTTATGAGAGAGCAGACAAATAAGCACCAAGAGGAAAAGGAGAGGAAAAGAGAGCTACTTTGACTGCGAGCTAAAACAAAAAAAAAAAGAAGCTAACTCCAATATGCTACCAAGGGTCTTAATGAAGATATAAACTTTTCGTCTGGCCTTAATTATAATAGGCATGTTTGGCTTTTTTTTTTTTTTTTTCACAAGCCGCCTTCTTAGAGCAATGTTATGGAGATGTTAACAAATACTACTCAGGGTAAGAAGACATTGTTTAGACAGAAGCGTCTCTGCTCCCAGCGTTAGCAGGAAGCATCAGAGGAAGATGAAACACACAAGTCTCAGTGTAGGCTGAAGGCAAATTCTCTTTTGCTCTCCAATTATGCTAACGAGAAAATTTAGGATATATGGCTGGGCAAACTGTGTTTCATAACGAGCTGGCTAAGATCACTTCAAGCAATGTTTTAATTCCTGCTATAGTAAAAAATCTGTGAAATTTAGTAGTGAAGGACTTCATGTTTCATCTTATTTGCAGCTTGTATTGTTTAAACCCAGGGCAAATACAAGAACATTTTTGGACCCACTGTTTAAGCCCAATTTGACGACACGTTTCTAATTATTTAATGGTGATATATATGTATAATATTTGGACTTTTTCATCTTTCTGCCTAGAATGTGATCAGTTGACACCTTTAGGATCCGTCATTTATGCTTCTGTACCCGTCAGGGCTTCCTCCTGCGCTGAAACCAAAAACATTGCACACCTTTCAAGGTGTCTTTTGATTCAAAGAGTGCTGCAGCCACAGGTTCTATTCTTCTTGTTATGGACTGCATTCCCACAGTCCCTGCTGTGTGTGCCGTTAGCTCGTTCAGTTTTGCCTTGGTGGTCATCCTATGATTAAAGCTCGCCATTGTCTCAAAGCCTGGGCATAGTGCGGGCTGCTTTTTTCACACAAGATGAGATGCTACGGTTGTCCGTTTGACAGAGGTGAAGGCAATTCAGCTGGGTAACTTGGCTGCGTAATAGCTAGTCTCTTGTACCTGTGGGAAAGGCTATTGCAAAGCAAAGCTTTTAAAGAGCAATTTGCCACCGGGACTGTCGAAAGTTGGGTCAAGGTTTTGAGATGCAATAATAGCCATTACAATCATTATTACCTTTGTGACGTCAGCTGTGTAATTTTAGTGTCCTTATTCTTGGGCTCTTTGAAATACGCTCACATATCAAACTGTAAATGTGGGATTTAGTCTAAAGGTTTGCAAATGGAAAATTCCCCAGAGAGGAATAACAGTTCAGTTGATTTTGAAGTCAACTGGCCATTGTTGCTGTAGCCTGTTCTTCATTAACTCACACTCCCTCTGTTTTTGTTCAATCTGTGAAAAAGGTGGATCTGTCTCCTGCACTGATGGCTCGCATCATCCTGGACAGGTTCCTCCAGGACCTTGAGGGCGAAATGCGTGAGTAGCAGTCCTTCCATTTCCCACTTGGATCCTTCCATCATCCCGTCCATCAGTCTTAATCGCAGCACTTTGTCTTTTGAATACCTTTCCCGCTTGAGTCCTAATTCCAATTCTAGCTGCTGTATTTTCAGCCTGTCCGAGCCCTAATGAGAGACAGACCACATTTAGAAGTAGCTGCATCCCAGGGCACATGACTGGCAATTAAGCACTCGGAGGACCACCCACCGCTCAACTGCAGCGTGGATCAATGCTAGCTCACCTCATGAGTGTTATTTATATCAGCCTTGATTTCTTTCCTCACCCTGCTTCATTCCCCCAATGCATCCATCTTCGCCATACCTTCTCTTCTTTCCTCGTCCCGTTCCCCTTTCTCCAGACCGATTGGGGAGGAATTGAGTTGAAGAAAAGTGTGGCAGAAAAAGCAAACAATTTTGGGGTTACGCTGATGGACGCGCTGTGGGGGGAAAAAAAATTCCAGATGCAAATATTTTTGTTGAAAGTGTCAAAGACATTGTCCAGAAATTGTGCATGCGGATTCTGTTTAATGTCTTCCATTTTCTTACTCTCTTGGACTTTCTTCTCGTCTTTTTTTCAGTGGTAGTTTTGGCACAAATATTTGCATGATTTGCGGTTATACCTTTTTTTGACATCTTACATTTGTTAATTCATTCAAAAAGCCATCAATCTGAAAATCCCAACCTCACACTCACACCTCATTCCATTTCCTTTTGAACAGGTCTTTCCCGAGGATTTTTTGTGTACGTGTGCATATGTAGCCGCGCGGTATTCAGTGCTCCGAGAGTGAATCGCGCGATGTCAAAAAGACGCGCTTCCAATTTAATCAAGAAAGAGATTAAAGTGGATGTGTGTTATTTTCAACTTCTCCACAGCGCAGCCATTTGTCAAAGTCAGAGATGTGATTGCTTTGGACCCGCCGTTATCCACTGCCTGTCAAAATAGTCGTCTGAGCAGCTTGTAGAACAGGGCATTCATCCAGGAGAAGCACTCCCGTCTCAGATAATAGCACCCTGCATCCCTCCATCTCCTTACAGTGCAAACATGCTTTATTATTGCTCAGAATAGATTTGTAGCAGATGAAACTTCCAGGATGATTGTTGTTTAATTTCAAAGAACTGTGTTGGAAGCGTGCAGAATTAAGGCGTCTGCATGCTAGTGAGCAATGCTCCAGTTGTTGTTCTTCTTGTATGAATTGATTTAACAGAGTTTAACAGAATATAAACGTCTTTGAAGGAGATCATCACAGATCCAAATCCCCCTAAATGCCGTGATAAGAACACTCTTACAGGCTCACATTTATAACTACTATGTGCTACCTGTTATATGACTCCGACGTAAATAACCTCGGCATCATACACTACCTTTCCATTGTTTCCAGCTGTAGAGTGGGTCGCTTTCAAGGTTGACTCCTGTTTTGACAGAGCTCCTCTGCAGTCTCCTCGTGACCCGCTCGGCCTTTTCAAAAGAATTGCTGCCCGCACGGACGGCGCGGTCAAACCCTCCAATCTCCCTCTGTGTATATTCGACTCCAGTAATGTGCTGCCATTATGAAACAATGCAAGGATAATTGTCTTTGCTGGCAATTAGCCAACAGGTTGGTTCAGCGCTATTGTCAGGCAAATCCGTCATGCCCCCCTCCAGCAGCAGAAACGCGTGCTTCAGTGTGCCTGTGTGTGTGTGTGTGTGTGTGTGTGTGTATTTGTGTGTTTTTGTCGGACCCCAGAGGGAGGGCGGGCAGGCGAGCTGCAAAGATCAATAGACTTCTATATAAGGGACATTACCCCCAACTGGGTGAGTGGCTTGCCTTTGCCTCGCACCATCGTTTTTTTATTCCCCTTCTCTTTCCCTTTGCATTTAAGAGACACAGGAATGGGGCCTTTGGGACTGTGGAATATATGTACAATCACTAGTGCTGGATCAATACACAGTTTTAAATTGTTTTCTGTCCCTTCCTTGTTTTGTTTTGCTCGCTTGTTCCCCCCCCCCCTCCCCTTCCCTTCCCTTCCCTCCCCTCCTTCCTTCTCACTAGCTACACACTCCAGCACCACAAACACACCTCAATATGACGACACAACAAGCTGCACCCCCCTTTCCTCCCTCTTTGCACCAGAAGTATTGGAGAGCGCATCAGTCAAGCAGAATGAAAGACTATCTGGTGGCGCTTGTAAATAAATCAATACATTCAAAGCAGGTTTATCACGTATTGAATATGATATCAACATCCATAATGCTCCCCCGTCTCATGAAAACTGACCAGGCAGTCAGGGAGGAAAGGTCACATGTGCACTTTGGCACTTTATATTCACCATTTTAAGGTCACAAAAAGCTACACAATATGCTCTTAGGAAAAAAAAATCAAGCATTCTGATCCAAAGGAGGAAGCGTTAATGTATGACAGGGTTCCTTTAAGGGTTGTTGATGTTTGACTTATGTCTCGTAGATGTCCCACATTGGGGTCTGATTAGTGTTGTAGTCAAGACCACACTAACCGAGACATACACGAGACAAGACCAAGGCAGGGCAGAAACAGAGTCAAGTCCAAAACCATAAATATCTCAGAAAAATCCTCATCTCACTTTGACCGTAACACCGGGAAGGTTGCAGCCGTAACCGGGGGATAAAAATCAGACATCAACTGAATTGAAGTTATTCATTCTTTTACAAAGAGGCTTTTTCCTTCTAATCACAGCAATGATGTGGAAAAATAGCTAATCAGTGGTGGTCTTGACCGGTCCTGATTTAAACTCCGGAGTCCGCCCAGTCCGAGACCAAGTGGAAATGCTTTGGATTCCAAAACCGAGACCTTCAGAAAGTGGTCTTGATACCGATCTTGACTTGAGACCAAGACCGATTTCGAGTACTACAACACCAGGTGTGACTTATGAAGTCATGCATTGTCTGTTAATTATGAAAACACAACAAAGACAGCTCTCCTCCCAACATCTCCTGTCTCTCTTCAGTTGTCCTTTCTAATAAAGACTAAAAGGCCCAAAAATGAACTATAGAAAAGTAAAAAAAAAAAACAATAATAATAATAATGACCAAAACACGATAAAATCACTAATTGAAGCAGACAATTGATTTATCAACCACTGCAACAAAATATTATTTTAAAATTGTTTCATATCTTTTCCATATTGAAATATCTTCTAAAATCGATTCCTTGTTTATTAAGTCTTAATGTCTCAGCCCACTTTTAGGTTCTGTAAATGAAACATCCTTATTGCCATTCCTGCTCAGTGTTGGTCGATGCTACCTCTTGGAAGTCTCTAGCAGGCACATTGGGGGAGCTCCAGCTCCTCCTTTTCCCCTCCTGCTACTATCTCTTCATCTTTTCCTCTATTCCTCCTTTGACAGGACTTGATGTGCCTCTAGATTTAGACATACTTTTTTTTTTTGAGCAGGCAATTTTGCTAGCTATTTGACCTTTTCCATTTTCCCAAGGCCCAGCTCCAGATTAGATTGCCGCTCCATGTTTTGTAACTATGTGATTCGACCGCCTTTAAGATTTATTGTCACATTCCTTTACAGAAGCCTTGTACGCGAGGTTATAAATGTCCCGCGTTTGATGTTAACACTGTGAGAATGTTAGCGTCGACTGTGATCCTTGGGTTCTTTGACAGAATTCGTAATAGCTTCAGTGTTTTGCAGATCAGACGTGTTGATAACTGAATATTGTATTCTACTCTTATCCACTAAAAACTCCACTTCCACTCTGATTGTTATGGTTCCTCTTCTCTTGTCTTCAAGTGCTCCCCTCTTCTTCTTCTTCTCTCACCTCTCCAGTGTTGCAGCCTTTTTTTCAAATAATGAGAGCCAAGGCGCTTCATTAGCGAGAAGGGAGGGAGTTAGAAGGGAAAGGCAGGATGGGTGTTTTTTTTTTTTTCTTTGCACGAGTGTGTATGCATGCAGAGGGTGGGTGCAAAAGGAGGTAAGCAGCAGCGTGGCACTTCACTTGACAAGTATACTAATTACTCCTTTTCAGTAGAGAAGCTCCAGTCAGCCTCTGCCACAGTCTAATGGCCTGACCTAGGAAGCCTCTCTCCACAGCAGAGCCTCCCAGATCTACTATTACTAAAGCCACACACACACACACACACACACACACACAGCAATGTAGAGTCTCATCTCACTGCTATCAGGGAGAATCAGGTGGAAGCAGATCAGTTCTGCCCCAGTAACCTCTTCAGGGACTGGGCTCCTCCTGCACAGGAGATACCACCTCATATCATCAACTAGCACCTACACACCACCACAGATACTTAGAAAAAAAACACATTTATTCCCTTCCTCTCATCTCCCACTCTCACTACTCTCCTATTCTCTCTCCCCCTCTTTCCCATCTTCTGTTTTTTTTTTCAATACGGGAGGATAAATTTAAAAGGAGTAAATTGGAAAATCAAATGAGGGCTTTAGGCAGCCGCAGAGATTTGCAGAGCTGTCGGCCAGCGTGGCGGAGCCTCATCCATCATGTCCCACAAGTAGTCAATTCCTCTAGTATCTGTAAATGTTTTCAGATATTAGCCAATTTATATGCTCCGAGATTCATCATGGAAAATCAGCTTTAGCGGCGCACATTATCAGGACCTGTCTCTCCCTTGCTCCATGAAGTTTGATGAACGAGGGCCCCTCCACAGCTCAATGGCTTGTGCATGGGGAGTGTGTGATGCAGGGGGGTGTGGGCAGGAGGAAATGGGTAGGAGCCCCCCCCCCCAAAACAGGAAAAAGTGGGCTTTTTAATTAATAAACAAACTTGCAGAGGAGCTCATCAGTGTCAGGCGCAATAACAATCGTCATCCGTTATTGTTTATTACGGTCCTCCCTCAGCGAATGTTCCTATCTAATGAGGTTTCTCGACATTTTTTTTGTGTTTGAGATAATGACTTTTTCACCCTAGTGGAAGGAAGAGTGGTTACAAAATGACACAAGTAAGCAATAAGAAATCAAGGTTATATTGCTGTTACCTTGCTTTCTCGAGTTTATCTTGTTTCAGGGTTGCATATGAAAACAGGCTTGTGATTTGTTTACACTGCTTGTTTTCTTTAGCAAATCCCAATGGAGGCGTAGCGTTTCACATCTTTTATTCTCCTCCTCTCTGTTCTTCTTCTGTTCAGATGTTGACGGTGTGATACGGCGCCTTAGTCAGAATTTATACCAACATGCGACAATTACAGTAAATTTGGTGAATGTTTACAAGGTGCAAAGTCGCGCTGCAGGGCTTTGTTCCCTGCGTCTGGTGTTCTTCAGATTATGCTTTTTATTTTCCTCGCATGTGTTTTATGTGCGCGCCTGTGTGTGCCTCCTGTGTGTGTTTTTTTAAAAGCACGGCGTGTGTGTGCGTGTGTGTGGCAGAGAGGAGCTCAGGGTGTCACAGAGGAGTGCTGCCGTGCAAGGCGGGGGCGTCTTTAATAAATGTATGCTGATGTTGGAGGCTGCAACGATGCGAGGGATGCAAGGGCCCTGTTGTTATTTACTGCTGTGTTTGTGCACGGCAGCGAATCCTGGGCCTGCAAATGGCATTACAGCCTGTGATGAATGGGCATTAGGGTAAACTCATTTTAAAAGCATCCTGATTTATTAGCCGCCCGGCCTTCCATTTTCATCAGGTCAATGCTTGGCTGAAATTCCACAATGTCAGCGCCAAGGTCACCTCTTTATGGCTATTTTTAACCCCATCGCTCAAAAGGAGCAGCAGAAAAGGGATCCTATCACTTATTATGGCCATCCACCAAAAAACATCAAAGGTCTGGGGAGACAAGGAGAGAGAGTCCTGGGCATGTGTGTGTGTGTTTGTGTGTGTTATGTGAGAGACCAAAATGTGGTGGTGGTCAACCTCCAATTATGAGTGCTAGTAAGACAAGAGCTTTAATGGCTGCTGTTTGCCTTCAGGGAGGTTTATAACACACTACTGTTTTGCAGAAGCAGCGTCAAATCTATAAAACGACCATTAGGAAGAGGGGGAAAAATCAATCAAAATGCCATTAAAGTGGAATAAGTTGCCAATATTGCTGATGTGGTTGTGGGTCCTTTGATTTTCCTTCAGATTATTAGGCACAGTCGAGTAGTGACTTTGTTAAGGGAAACCAGTGTTGTTGGGGAGTAATATGTCTCCTGGCTTCATAAAGTTTGCTGCCTCATATTTCCCGCTTTATTGATTGTCCATTATCATTTGTCATGAGGTGTCCTAACTCAAGGGGAAAATATAACCCTCTTTCTTCACCGCCGCCCACGCTGCTCTGCACAAGGAGCGAGCTGGGTATGGATCTGCGTGCGAAGGTACCAATCTCTGAGAAAAATGAGCAAAGAAATAAAGCACAGCCCTGTGCCTTGCAGCTCTTAACAGGGAGTGCGTGTGAGGTTATATGGGTTGGGCTGGGGGAGTACCGTGGCTGGGAGAGACTGAAACAGAGAGGAAAGAAGGGGGGGGGGGGTAAAAAAGATGGCAGAGAAAGATGGAGACAAAGAGGAAGAAACAGAGAGAGAGAGAGAGAGAGGAGAGAGGGAGTGCAGAATGGGCTTTGTTCTTCTCCACCCTCCTCCCTCTTTATTTCATCATAAGGTAGATGAGGGATCACAGCGCAGTTAGTCCTCTCTGTGATAGTTTTGTCAAGGAGTGATTCTCGTGAAAGAAATGTAAAGGGGCAGACAGAAAGAGAAAGAGCAGTCTTTAGGGTTTTACATTTCCTGAACGCCTCTCTTTTAATGGAATTCATTCAACAGGCGCTTAATGATCCCTTTGGATTTTGTAAATGTACACCAAAGTATTGTTCGATTCATTCTTTTAAGATGATTTTTGGGGTATTTTGCATTTGTTGGACAGGACACCTGGAGAGAGAGAGATAGGAAATGTGGAGAGGAGAGAATGGGGGTCGACATGCATCAAATGGTCGTGGGCGGGAGTCAAACCCGCTACTGATCCGTTGAGGACTATAGTCTCTGTATATGGGGCGTCTGCTCGAAACCGGTGCCCCCATTCATTGTTTTCCTTTTCTATTCTCACATATTTAATACAAGATGTGTTGTTTCTACCTGCTCTAGATTAGCTCAGCTCTCTCTGTGCAGTGCTGCTGCAGCACCATCCATGCCTGAAATGTGAATAGAAACATTCCCTCGTGCTGTCTGTGACGCTGCCAGTCAGTCAGGACCATGCATCACTTAAAATGGCGTGCCTCGACCATTTCGTCACACAATGATACAATCCATTGAATCCAAATCTTTTTAAGAAATGATTTAAGGATTTTTTTTTTTTTTTGCTGTTGCGGTAGCAGCCGATCAATCCAGCAGGCTTCCCGTTCCTGATTTATAATGTTGGTTGAGCAAGAATGGGGATGAGAGATGCAGAATAGTCAACGTTCATAACATAGATAAAGTACATGGGGCTCCTGTGCTGTGGACTGAAACATTTATCTAGAGAAAATCTGTGTAGACACCAAACAGCCATCTAATGGACTCACATGGAAATACTGCACAAACAGTACGTCAAACGTCTCTTTTGCCTGTGCAGTCTATTTTTGATGTGTGCTCTAAAGTTAATGCAGCAATCAGACAATATATTTTTTTATAGTTATAGGATAGGGCGGCTGTTGCTTTATATGTTTTGCATAATTGTATTAAAGAGGACTTATTATACCCCTTTTCTACCTTTTCAAACAGCCCCTGTGGTCTAAATGAAACATCAGTTCTGTGCTTTGGTCAAAATATAACAGCATGAATCAAGCACCAGAGGAGGGTTGTGACCCTGTATAAACCAGCTCTCTCAGAACGCTCCGTTTTGGTGTGTGTGTTTCTTTAAATGCAATGAGTTAACCCGGTAGACGTCACTCCTTTGCTAGGGAGAATAAAATTGTCAGACCTGCAAAAAAAGTTTTGTTTTAGGCTGGGGGTGGAGTCCATGGGTCGAGATATCAGGGGAGGGGAGGGGAGGGGATTTTTTTTTACCAGAATCCAACTTGTGACATCACAAGTCGAGCAAATTTAAAACGGAGCATTTTTCTCAGTGTTGTAAGACTTATGCAGACTACAAACAAAGGACTGGATGAATTTATTTAACATTTTGTGGGATGGTAGACACTCAGGTTACACAAATATATGTTCCAAAACACTGTAAAAGTGGATTTTTCATAATATGTCCCCTTTAATGTGTATTTGTTTTTCTATGTCTCTTGCCTCTGTGTTTTGTCCCCAGCCTCCAAAACTGTCCTCACCAGCATGCTGAAGGAGCCAACACTAATTCCAGACCAGATTTTGGCCAAAAATATCTACCAAGTGAGTGTTTCAACAGTTCAACTTATGAAAAGAGACATATGAAAAGCAAACAAGACCAACGGGGGAAATGATTTGCTATTTCTGTACGGTTATCAGTCATGCCTAAAATCGCTGCCACAGGGTCGACGTCAGATAAAGTGGTTGACAGGAAGTCGCCAAAGCAGCTTTTTATTAGGTATCCCATGGCAAAGATTATCGACGAGTGATACGTTTGACTGTAAGAAGTTGATTTATCTTTAAAAAATCACTGCTAACACATGTACAGGGTAATGTCAGCAAAGAGTAAAGAGGAACCACGGGTCGCCAAATTCCAAACTGTACATTTCTCACAGGAGCTTAAACCGAGTTATTAAATGAATTTCAATTGATGGTGTAATGAAATTATTATAATTTTCTCACTTCTTCAGATGATTTTTTTAACATCTTTGCCCTGCCTTTAACCGTCTAACAAATCATGTGCGTCTGTACGGTGTGTTTTTGTAAGTGTTTTTCTACCACCTGGCTGACAGACGGCATCAGCCGCTCTGTTTGCTGATGAGATCACGTGAGAGCCGGCGGTCATGCCTGCCAATCTGCTGGCATCTCCTGTGTTTTCTCCTTTGCTTGCACTGTATGGGCTTTCCCTTTCCACCCAGTCACCCACCCCCCCCCCCTTTTTTTTTCACGCCGTAATATTTCTTCCCCCTCTTTTTCAGTGCACAATAAATGACTGCTGTTATGGACCGCTGGTAGACTGCATCAAACAGTATCCTATCCCATAAAATTTTAAGCCTGAAATTGACGAGGAGCTATTGAAGGGGATGAGATGGTGTCTGGCTTCACCTGACATAAAAGTTCTGCTTCACAGAGGAAGTGTTCCATCCTGCCTGGAATATCCAGCATCCAGCCATACAGGGGCTGGAAGGTGATGGAGGGAGGAGACGGAGGAGGAGGAGAGGATGGGTGATCTAACTGAATCTTCTTGTGCACTCAGTGGGTTAGACCTAATGTTATGATACAAGAAAAAAATCAGTCATTAGCTCTGATCTTTATGTAACCCATTTGATTTTTATTTTTATGTTTATAACTGAAAATAACATTTAAATAAATCTTGAATTAGATTTGATTATGTTCAGCACCATGGAGAGCTCTTACATATCAAAATTTCAATTGCACTTTAAATTTGATTAACTCATCGTTAATTGGTACTGCTTATAATTCTGTAATTTCTGTTCCATCTACGTCTTTGCCCACCTCTAATATCCCCATCTCCTTGTTGAGGGAGAGGGCTTGGCCTTGTTCTAAAGGGGCAGGAGTTGAGACCTGGCTGCTAAGTGGCAAACAGCTGGCTAGCAGGCCAAGTGTTTCCTTAGGGAGTGTTTCCTTATTTGAATGAGTGGACATGTGTCAATCTGCATCTTATTGTATTCGTCCAAGCTTTCATGTGTGTGGTGGGGCCGGGTTCTTCTGTTCATAGCCAGTCAACCCTGTCCCACCCCGCCCTCCTTCCTCAGCCCCCCTTTTTAACTTTCTTTGGCTGTCCTCTTGTGTGAGTCAACTTCAAGTCACTTGATTCCCCTCTTGAGTTTATAGTAACCGCCCCATCACCATGTGTTCCATCCTCACATGAGACGTAAAGCTCTTAATGAATTTTGGATACGTATGTGTTCATTATAGTTCTTTTTGCTTTGGGCAGTATAACGCTATCAAAAAAGGCAAATATCAAATACGACATTTGACCTTAAATGCAGGATGCCTGTCTATGGCATCAAGCACAAGACTTCCTAATGCAATAGGGCATTTATTCTTCTTGCTTTTTTCTTAAAGGGTTTTAGAGGAAATTAGTGAAGCGACTTGTCCAGGCACTCTGACTGTGCGTTTTGCAGAATTGGCATTTGTTTCATGTTCCTCATTTAGGTAATGCACTTTGGAGATTTCCAGTGGAGGCAGAGTAAAATTGACCTGAAAAGTCTGACTGTCCTCTCATACTCATTGCTGAAAAGAGAAGTGCGAGACCAAAGTCTAGATTATTAACTGGAAGTGTTGCCAGACAGTGAACATGCACAGTCGGCTCACATCCCCACGTTTGCTGAATATTTTGTGGTTTAGCAGCTGCATGAATTTTGATGTCATTGTACATTTTTGCACTTGTAATGATCTTTGTTTCAGTGCACGTGTAATATAAATGTTGAAATCCTTGACCGGTGTTCTCAGCGCGATTGGTCAGGAGCATGAGGTGCTGCTTCGTGACAAACTGCAGGAGAGGAACCTTTCCTTTCTGGGTAAGCCATCCTTTGACCTTCTCCTCACATTTCTTTAGTCGCTCTGTTCATGGCACTGTGGCCTTTTGGAAAGCTTAGTAAAGGGAGACCTGGACATGAGTGAGGCATTGGATGTTATCTTGTATTGATTTGCTAACAACAGGAGCTGCTATCAAATATCTTTGATGTAAATGCACCGTTCAGTTGATATTTATAGAACAGAAGCTTTAAAAGGTTTTAATGTTTCATTGGAAGGTTTCTGTCCTGTCCAATTTTCAAAATTGAATCAGTTCAGTTTTCTGTTTACATGATCATGACTCTAATGTTAGTACAATCAAAGGGTCTTTTGAGGGTGACTACTGTATCTATTTCTAACCAATCATGAGTTATATCGATTGTTCTCTTAAAATCTTCTATTACTATCTACAGAAGTATCCTGTTCTTATGATATTAAAAGGTAGTGTTCCCAGGTGTGAAATTGTAAAAACCAGATTCAAACACCCCCTTCCTACCTTGGACCCCCATCTCATCATCATCCCCTAGGTCATATGAGTGATGAAGGATAAAAGTCATTCCCTCTGCCATTAAGACCATATCATTTATTTGGACCTGGAGTGCTGACCTTTCCTCCGAGCTGTACAGAGGACTGTTCTAAAACTGTCAGAGTTCGGGCGACATTAGGGCCACTGAGGCCGCCTCACCCCGTCTGATAAATGGATTGGAAATAAGCTACCCAACAGCGGGGATGGCCCATTAATTTTAATCAAAGGTGATGTAAAAAAGGCGATCAGAGCCACATGACAATGTCAACAGTCCAGTAGGTATGAATAGAGGCTCCTGTTCACACACACATTACCACACCCAGGATGCCCCTCTGTTCCAAAGGCCTCTGGCAGCCTCACTGACCTCCCTCGGCTCCCCCCCCCCCCTCCTTGGCTGATGCTACCTCCTCTTCACCACTGACACCGCCACCCTCCATCTCTCCTCAATTCCCCTCCATGCCCCATTAGTTGAGCTTGGCTGGAGACAAAGAGGCAGGCCCTTGGAACTGAATGACCTGGTCAGCCTGAGATTTAATGGAGAAATCAGGTGTTGGAGGGATAATGGCCGAAGCGCACCAGAAGTCAAGGACAATGGCTGCAGCTTGCGCAGGCAGGGGTCAGGCTCACACAGTCTATAATGCCAACCTTGTCCCCTTGCTGTATATTTTATAAAGCTCTGCCAAAGTGGAAAGAAGCTCTGTAACTGGGTTTTACAGGTTTTTGTGCCTCGACAGCGAATATGTGGCAGGTGGAGTTAATGGTTTTACTGTGCTTGCTGTCCTCCACTGTTATTTCTGCTTTGCTAACACTAAATGGTTCCGTTACCAGTGAAGGTTGTTAGGTTACCTGCTGCGGCAGAACTTCAGTGAAGAGTAAAACTAACAGCAAAGTAAAAGTCAGGTGTTAAAATTCTGCACTTTATCTCCTGCAGATGAAAACCAACTGAGAGCTATGGGCTACGACAAAACACCTGACATCATCTTGGAGGTTCCCATAGGTTAGTATTCACATTGCAAATGTCAATATTTCATCTGAAATAACTGCCTCTTAACCTTAGCTACCTTGTTTCGAACAGGATTGTGCAATTGTCAAAACCTTGTCAAATTAATGCTAGATCGTCTTTGATCTTTCTGAAGACTGACAGCAAAAAAAAAAACCTAAGAAAATGTCACTTGTCCCCTCTGGATCTTGCCTGTGTGGCCTTTTTGTCTCTGGTTTTCTGAGTGTTTCTGTGTTTCTGTGTAAAGCTGTAGAAGGACACATCGTGCACTGGATTGAGAGCAAAGCCTCATTCGGAGACGATCACAGTCATCGCACCTATCTCAACGAGCAGTTCTGGAGCTACTGGAACAGGTGAGTTTTGTATTCTCACCTCTTCATCTTCTATTTTGATTGGCCTTTTCTGAAAATCGCCATAAAATGCTGAAACTCCTTTCTGACTACTTTGCATTTTGTTTATAACTTCTCCTTTTTGACCACTAACCACCATCACCATTGTCAGTGTAATAAAGGCAACCAATATTTCTTTGTAACAACTTCCTCTGTTCCATGGTTCACCCTTACCCTACAATCACAGTTGCTATCTCTATACAACACAATACTTCCACATCCACTCATGTCACTGGAGCCTTTCACAGCCTGAAGGGTCTGCCAGTGAGCCGGATTGTGTTCCTGCTCATATTGTTTTGGAAGGAAAACTGGGAAATGGGTGATTAATCCCAATACATGTGCTTATGTCATGTGTCACCTTTTTGTGTGACTTCGGGGACACTGAGACGTTCTTACGTTTAGATATCTGTCTCAGTGCTAGCAATGAATAAGATCCTCAAAAAACATACTTTAGAGGACATTTTTTATGACCTAATATATTTATTTTTTTCACTTTTTTCTCTTCTTACTCCAAAATAAGAGGCTAACGAGGGAGCTTTAAGATTATGGCTCTTGTATTTGTCGTCAGTATGCTAGTTTTTAGTTCAAAGGCTGAAAAATGCCTTTGAGGGTTTTATGTCACCAATATATATTGGGCATGATCACTTGTCAAACAAAGTCAGCTGTCTAGAAACTTCAAGCACACTATAGATTGATATAAAGGCTGAATTTCAAACTAAATCCATCAGGTAGATTGACTTTTGTGTTTAGGCACACACAGGATGGAGTGGGGGGGGGTTGGGGTTGGGTCGCTCACACATGGTCTTTACATCCCTGCCTCCCTTGGCAAGAGGTTCCAGTCACCAATTTGAAGAGTCGCCCACACAGCCTCCTCCGCCCCCGCTACGGCCTCGGCCCCCCTCAGCTGTGACGGCCAGCTGACATGTTGTGACATTCTGCCGGAGTGCCAGGAGGTTTCCAGACCCCCAGGGCTCTCTTCCTCTCTTTGGTTCTTTGCCGTTTTGGTGGTCTTGTAGTAACACATCAAGAACCATTTTTTTTTTTGTTCGCTTTAACAACACAGGAACATTTTAAAGGTGTTGTTCCACAACCTCAGAAACAATCAGATTTGATTAAAAAAAAAAAGTATTTATTTAAACACATGCTCTCTCAAGTGGATACTGCGCATGTACAGAGGCTGTAGTCCTCCAAGTAGGCGGCCAAGGTTCGAATCCGACCTGTTGCTCCTTTCCTCAATTTAATTCCCCAATCTGTCCCTGATTTCCTACTCTATCCACTGTCCTATCTCTACAATAAAAGGCCCAAAATAAATCTTAAAAAAACAAAAACAGGTGCTCTCTGATAAAAACAAAAGTAGTTGTTAGTTGAGAAACTTTTTTTTTTTTTTTACAAATCATTTAGAATTAGTATTTTAGGCGATAACTTGTAAGAAAGTTTAAAATTATATATAGAGACATTATTTTCTCTTATTTAATGAATGGATTCACCTTCAATAACTGTTACCACTGCTAAGAGACTGACCTCCTGATTCCACTCAAAAAGCTGCCAGCAGAACAATCATTAGATTTTGAGCGCAGATGACTCCTTCAATATCATTGAGCCATTAAAGAAGCAGGAGATGAGGTCAAGGTCGTAATCAATGGTGTGTTTTATTTTCTTTTGAGGAGCAGTTTTATTTGGAAAGAAAGAAGAAGAAAGTGCTGTCGGGTAGTAAAAAAAAAAAAAAGCTCATCTTTGATGGTAACCATCTTTGAGAGGCCTCATTTAACGCTCTTAAGAAAGTTAGTGACAATAAAAAAGCTTTGCTGGAGCTCCAGAACATTCCTAGACGATGTTTAATAAGGAACCATTAAATGATTGCTGTCTGAGAGAGTGAGACTTAAAATAATAAAAAAAAAAAAAAAAGCTCATTTCACTTTAACAACTGGCATCAGACGTCTTCATAAATATTTCACCGTGCAAGTCAACGTTCTTTCTTGGTTTGGATTGAAGACAGTGGCATTGATCTGTCTTATGTCTCCCTCTTTGGTGCTCGTGGCATTAGTTTACAGTAGGTCAAAATATCTGAATACTAACAGGCTGAGTGGACAGTTGGGGTTAGATTGAGCCTCACATATTTGCCCACGGCTGTCTTTCATTGATATTCACTGGGGCGGCCATGTCCGAGTGTATTAAGGAACTGACAAAGCAGATCCCATCATGTCAGCCAGAAGCCCGGTCAGATAAACATTGTAGTGTCAAAAAAGACAAAATGTCAGTCCCTTCAGACGCTACCTTTTCCAGCACCCCTGTAATTTTTAATTGACATTTACTGCTGACATTTGAAAATGCACCTCATCTTTTCTCTTTATCGTCTGAGGTACACGTGTGTGTGTGTGTGTGTGTGTGTGTGTGTGTGTGTGTGTGTGTGTGTGTGTGTTCGTTAAGTGAAGGGAGTGAATTTGGGGCCAGTGCTTCGTAGTCACAAAAACATAAACCGAGAGAGAAATGGGGGACAAGAGAGTGATGGGGTGACATCACCCTGCTTTCACTTCTCATTAGGCGGAGTCGGTTCCTGAGACGAGCCCTAAAGCGCTGATTTTTAGGATGTTTGTCCATTCCTTCATTCCTCAAACTCACATTGCAGCGCTTGACTCCGAATCTTCCAGTTCCCTCTGCCTGCCCTTGGAATCACAAAGCAATGGTTGTAATTACTTCATCGCCCCTGATTGACATTTGCAGTGATTTGCTTATTTTTCATGAATTCCCTCTTTGCTTTAACTGAGCTGCTTCCCCCATTGCTTGTGTTTAATTGTTCGGGGTTTTGCCCTCAAGCGCTGCAGAGCGAGCTATGGGGACACATTCTTTTTAGTAGACGAGAAGAAAAAACATAACTAATTTTCCCTCCGAAGCCCTCACCAACCGCATCTATCATCCAAACAATAGTCTTGCCAACACGCTAACCCCATAATGAACCTCTCTTCAGTGGAGTGAGGGGTAATGACGCTTCACCTACAATGCTCCCAAGAAAAGAGGCGGGGGGGGGGGGGGAATGGGAAGAAAAACGGTCTTGTGCAGAATCAAACGGCGTGTTCAGGCCCGGTGCCTGGATGAGATGGTGAAGCAGCAGCTATTGGTGTCTTCCAGCCATCAATCTTAGCTGGTGGCGTTCCAGAGGCAGCGAGCCCTCTGCTCTGACGGATGTTCACATAATTGAGTTATCCATCTCGCCCAACTATCAGAGTTGCATAAAAATTATTCACCTGCTGGTGAATATTAAACACATAATGAGCCTCTTGTGTGTTTTAGGAGGAGTGGGTAAGGTTAAACACAGCATGTAATGAGATATGTGGTGCCACCTTAACTGCCCCTCCTTGATTATGGTGTTTTTAAATCAATTATGGTTGGCAAAGTTCTCCCCTTTGCAGCAAGCCAAGTTCTGCCCTTCTACTTATCTAATTAGTGTGTTTTATTGAATACTTATTTCAGAAAACATCAGACACTGTAGTTACTTCCTGATAGGAACGACTTCATAATTCTGATGCATGTGCCAACATTTTGGACTTTATATTATTATTATGTAAGAGAGAACATATAGTAGCAGAGTGGAAACCCATAATTTGATACAAATGATTGATTTGTATATGGTTTTATTGATTTAGAAATTATATATTTTCCCTGCTAAACAATCTAATACGTCCATAGAATCTAATACGTCCATAGAAATGGTATAACTCTGTAGCCTTTTTTTTAAGTGAGCTCAGCTAGCTGTTATTACTCACATTTTAACTGAACATTTCAAATAATGGTAAAGTGAGACAAGGTGAACAAGTCTGCAAGAATAATTGGAGCACCTGCATGACTTGTTTCTGTCTGAGTCCGTTGAAGCAGTCTTTAAAACACCACTTCATCCACCACCTTGTCAGAAACCACATTACATGATGTGTTTACTTCGAGTGCCATCTACAATGTGTAGATTGCATACAAACGTGCAATAATTACCTAACTGCTGCTAACTGTTCAATATTACTTGTTAATAACTTTGTAACTCACTGCTTTAAATTGTCTATTTATTTACTCATTCATTGCACTTTAACTTTCTATTTATTATTCATTCATCCAGTCACTGCACAATAATAACTGTATATACTCTTTGACTGCACTATAACTTAACTTATCTGCACTATATCTCTATATTTAAATTTGCTTAATTAATCAGTCACTACAAAATAATAACTGTATATATTCTTTCAGTCACCACAACTGTCTATTTATTTATTATTATTATCATTCATTCACTGAACAGCCATTGCTCTGGCCACTTTTTGCATACTTCTCTCTCATATCACCACAAATATGTTTTTGTTGTTTTTGTAAACGCTGCTGTTGAAGATTGCTGCTAACAAAATTTCGTTGCGTCCTTGTATACAATGATAATAAAGATTCTATCTATCTTCAGTTTAGCAGATTTCTCCTTCATAATCTTCAGTTTTAGCATCTTTTAACCTCTTTCGGCCGCTGTTTTTCATCTCCTTTCTTCTTTACCCAGAGTAAAAAGACCAGCGTCAAATGATCTGGAATTCTTTCTGCACATTATTATCACAGTTAGTCCTTCAGACTCTTTCCTTCTTAGTCCTTCAGACACTGCGTTCTTTGCAACAGTCAGCTTTTCCTAGTAACGGTTTGTTCTTCTTAGCAACGGATTAGGGAGAAATAGCAGACTGTTGCTATGCCAAATTAGCCAATCAGAATCAAGTATTTAACACAGCCATGTTGTATTATATTAACACCCCTTCAGTATTAACCTTGTTTTTAATGGCGTATATTTGCACATGCAAGTCAAAGACACATTTTTGCCTCTACATACAAAAGAAGACTTTTTTCTATTTCTATTTTTTCTATTTTATTTGGACCAATGGCAGGTTTTTATTGTCTGTAGAGTCTTTTCTATGGTTTGGACAAAAAATACTCAACCAAAATCAGTC